TGGTTCTGGCTGATTGGCCTAGAATTACAAACTTGCACACTTTCCTTCCTGTCTCCTTCCACCCTGAAGCGGGGATAAAGTCATCCAAAGAACTTCTCACAGAGCAACAAGCTAACATGCTTGATTAGAGCCAAATAGACAAACCAGCAGCTTATTAACATTAATGCTTTGTTCCGGCAGACAGGCAAGTCTCTCTTCACTGAGGTCAGGGTCACAGGCCTGCTGAGACGCACAGTAAACAACACTCGCTAAATCTCGGCACACACACAGTCTGCATTCCTCTGTGCTTATTAATGTGGGTGCAGGTCCTGTTTTCTTCAGATGTGCGACTACAGATTGTCAGTAGGCAGAAAGTCTAGTTTGGGTAAATGATGTGTTGTTTTTCAACCTTGTTGCTACAGTAGCAGAAAGTTAGTTGGATTGAAGCACTCAAGACCTCCTGCCAAAGTTTGATTGATAGCAGAGATGGCACTGCTGCTTTGTAACCGTCCCCCTGAGGGTGTCTGTGCCACTGCGGCAGCTGCAGCAATACTCGAAACTCATGGACGACAGAGAGAAAACAAGTAAAGCACAGATTCAATTCTCTCTTGTAGGAGCCACTACTACAGTAACGTACAAGCAATAGAGCAAGCAGATTCTTTTAATGCAACATCTCCCCGCTCCTGCTCCTCTCTCCTCCGGCACTGCTCCACCTAGTGACAGAGTCTTGGATATATTGAGAAATAAAGACACACTGATTCTCTCCTTGCACTTGCTTCATCATTTCAACATGCCATCGTCCCCTTCTCCTCAGGCACTTTGTGAAGTGCTGCTCTACTTTATTGTAGTGAAGTTATTAGGCTCAGGGAGCAAGTCAACAGCAATGTAGGCTGTAGTCGTGCTTCTGCCACCTTCAGAGGCATTGTGATTGTCCATCATATCTTGTGCAAAAAATAAGCAGTATATGGTTATGGTAAAAATAAATGACTGAGGGCACCTAGATAGTTCACCTATTAAAGCCAACGCCCCATGTACTAGGAACGAGAACTTGCTATAGCAGCCATGGGTTCGACTCCGACCTGTGACCCTCTCTCTCCCCCCTTTCCTGTCACTTTTGCGCTGTCACTATCTACTTAAGGCAATAAAACCCGCCCCAAAAAAGAAATGACTGAGCCATATTTGCTTTGTGTGTCTTTTCATATTTAGAAATATTTTCAGGGCTTTATGGTCAATTATGAGGCGTAATAATGTGCTTCACAGGCCCAAACATGCTGCTTCTTGTTCTGCTCCTGTCCTCAGATAACATATGGTGTTAATATCATAAAGTACCAAAGGAAAATAGAGGAAGACGTGAAGATAACTGAAGGGCTTGTCTCTTAAAAGCCAACACCTCACCCTCAGTTACGGATACATGCTTTAATAAAGTTTGTCATGATAGTCTGAAAAGAACGCAGGAGATTTCATCACTACTAGAATTTCTGATGTACACGTACTTTAACTACACTACAAACAAATTTTGTCCTCTAAAGTTCTGCAGCTCACCAGCTGGTATTCATTCCACCTTTTGTCCTAACGTCATGCTTGATATATATTGATAATGAGGGGAATGAATTTACTGTTTACTGTTATTGTTGGCAGATGACTCCAGTTACATGCCTCTGAGTGGTAGATGGAAAAGTGTCTCATATTTAATGTTTTGTGTTTCATGTAATGAAAAATGACATTCCGTGTTTTGTGCCTTTTGGCTGTCCTCAACACAAACCTCAATTTCCTAACTCATTTTGTAACCATGTCTCTTTCCCTTTGTGCATTCTCTATAGCTGCTGCCCTTGGCAACCTGGTGTCTGATCTGGCAGGACTAGGGTAAGAATTTCACACATACACACACAGACACGCGCATATTCACACACCAGCACACAGACAGAGGCAGTTATTATGTTCAAGGTTTCTGAAAAGATGTAGGAGGACAGACAGAATTCATACCCTCAATCAATCAAAAGGTAACTATGGTAATATCAGTGTATGTCCCATTATACAGATTATTACAGAGATAACTTTTTTTTACCA